ATTTTCGGGGGCTCCGCCGGCTCCTCGTCGGTTAGCCAGCACACGATATCACCTTACTCAAAAGGTATTTGTTGAAATTGGGAATGAAAACGCGAATTTGAAGATAAAATTTACAATTTCACGATTATGGAATTATTCCAAAAAAAACTGTAGGAGCTTTTGGCGTTTGTACTGTAGCACATCGTAGCCCAGGGGTTTTCTTAAAAATCAGAATTTATGAATTTTCATGTCCTTAGCATGTCCCAACAAAAAAATGCCGACAATCGAGCGAAAAATCCCGGATATTTGAAAAACGGAAAAACATAGTGTAATGGTTGTCTGCCGGCCTAGAACGGAAATAATTTAATTTAATAAAGATATTAAATATTAGATATTAAATTTTAATAAGAATTAAAATGAGCACAATAGGTTGCGAATCTACTCACAATTATACTTTTTTATAGGCCTCTTCTCGCAGTCATTCTCGATGAGCGGCTCAGCCATTGCTGAATTTGCACGCGGCACGAATACTATCGAGTTTTCACGCGACTACGTGAAGCTTCTAAAATGCGATACCGGGGATTTACTGACGTAAGTTTAGAGTGAGAAATGTTTTGTTCTTTCGGAATTGTTTATTTTTTCACATGTTTTTTAAGTGCAGAAATTCCTAGATTTGAGTTCTTTTTTAGTTGTATGCAGAGCAAAACGTTGGATCAGCTCTACGCTGTTAATGCTGGGTATGAAGGGGTAAATTTTAGCAATAAAAGCTTTATCATTTTTATAGAATTTTGAAAATCTTCTATTTTTAGGGCTGCGGGCCTGCCAGCCTGGATTGGCTCGGATTTGCGCCGATTATTGATGGCAACTTCTTGCCTTTACAGGTAGAGAAGAAAGAGAGTTTGGGCAAGCTAGCAGAGATCATTTGAAAAACAGTGCGGACGGGGCAAGCTAACAGAGAAATCTTGACAAATTGCTTTCCTGACAACAAAAGCCACATCCGTTTATCTGGATTTGAAGCTATTAGGCAAGCTAGCAGTGATTCTTGTCAAAATCAAGCTACAAGGGCAAGCTAGCAGTGTTTCTTTGAGCATCGTTAGAAACAACGTGCAGAAATCTTTGTGGAAAAATAACAATTTTCAGCCTGAAATTGCGATGGCCAAAGCAGATCCGATTCCAACTTTGATCGGCCTCAACCAGAAAGAAGGAAGAGCTTTTGGTAGGCATTTTTTCTTTGAATTGAATTTCTAAAAATTTCAGCCCTTCAAGGAACTTTCCCATTTTCCGTACTGCCGCCGGAGTACGTTTTTTACACTTCGACGAGCTTTGCGAACTATGTGGCAAAGTGGATCACTAGTAAGGTATGAGTTTTTAGCTTTTAAAGGGACGATGAAGGCTTAATTTTCGCTGATTTCCACTAGCTAGTTATCTTTGAAGCATCAAAGTTTAAAGGGCCGCTAAAGGGTGTGCTTTCTATAGATTTTACATAAGATATTATATATTGATTTTTAGGGATATACCAAGTCGGAAAATGCGACAGCGCACAACGATATATTTGCGTTTTACTCCCAAAATACTACCGGCCCCTACGATCACTACTGGTGGATTGATCAGTATGTTCGGGTAGGTGGAGGGCGAGAGAGAGAGAGAGAGAGAGAGAGCGGGGAGAGAGATAGATAGATTGAGATAGAGATACAATTATTTCAGACCTATTCCGATTACATCATGAACGTTCCGGCAGTTCGTGAAGCCATCATCAAATCCAAAGCTGGGGCTCCGGTTTTTACCTTCACTTTGGATCATTATAACCAAGAAACCTGGCCCGTTACCTTTCCGTGTCAAGGTAGGCAAAACGGATCTTCTTCAGGGGCTGGGAAGCGCAAGAATGGACCCCTGGCCTGGGCTAGGTCTCGACAGCTACGTTTCCATCTAAAACACGCATTCAATCTTATTTGTATAAAACCCTGGAGCTTGAAGAAAATCCCATTTTTGCGTCATTTGTAGTAGGGCATCGCTGTCGAGACCTAGTCAAAAAGAAAGGTCGATTGGAGGCTTCACTGTCCCTTGAAGCAGATAAATTTTTTCTTAGGCTCTACCCACAGTGGTGAGGTCCCTTACCTGATGGAGATGGGCATCAACTTCAACGTGACCCAGGCGGATGTCTCGACGGCGATCAATATTCAGGAGATGTTCTTGCAGTTTTTGAGGACTGGGTATGGATTTTAGAGATGCCACCCCCCGAAAATGTAGTGTTCCGTACTGTAACTACTTTTAAAAATCTATTTGAAGCTTGAAAATTTGAAATTCAGAGACCCTTCCACCGTCGCATTCACCTGGAACAAATTGGGGGCCAACTTTGAGTACATGAGCGTCTCCGAGAAGCCGCAGATGAAGAATGGTATTTTTTTGGCTAGAGAATACTATAAAAAACATTATTAATATTCTTTTGGATTTAAAAAGCCTAAAATTCAATTTCCAAATCTCGTTTAGACTGGTTCGGGCCGAGCTACCGTTTCTGGACAGATACGATGATGAAGTACAGCTTCGATTTTATTACTGGACGGAATTGGGCGGCTTGAATATTTATAAATTACGGAATTTATTGAAAATAATGATAAAATTGGTTCAATGATGGAAAAGCAAATTCGAATCAAACAAATTACAAAAACTTTTAAAAAGTTGTAAAACCTGTAACACATATATTGCAAAATGCGTGTGGAAAATCCAAAACGCTAAATCTATCGTAATCGGTAAAAAATTTGCTAATCTTAATTTAACTTAATAAATGAAAAATGAAGCTCAAAATAGCAAAAACCTAGAAAAGTTACAACTCACGCGACCACCTCCCGCTCCCCCCACCCCACGGATAGCCCGCTCCACTCCCCTCTGCGAGCTACGACTGTGGTCTAGCGGTAAGGGCCGGGGCCTGTGGGGCGTTACCTCCCGGGTTCGACCCCCGCCCGTGCCACCCGCCAGCGAGGAAGATCATTTTTCGAAACAAGTGTCTAGGCCTCTGAGAGTTCCGTGACTGATGAGGAGTTTCTGAGCTGGCTTTTTTGCTTTTTGGTTGGCTTCGGGGCTCCGGAAGCCGTGTTTTTTTTTGGTTGGTTTCTTGATGGGAAGCTTGGCAGACTTGCGAAATTACTACCACCAAAAAACTCAGGGTGAATTTTAACCGGGTAAGTGTATAATTTGTACAATTGGCAATGTTTTGCCTTTTTTCAAGCTTGCCCCTTGCGCCGAAGCTTCGTTTCCCATACAGTCGCGAAGACCGTTTATCAGCTGCAAGCTAACACCAGATTTTTAGGAGCAGCTCTTTTGTTTTTAACTGGTACGACAAGCGCGAAAATCGACCCCCTGGAATCGGCGGGCTCTAGACGGTTACGTAACGCTCCTATATACGCCAGTACTTTGATTTTTCGGCCCTTATCAAGTAGCATTTGAAACAAAACCCCCAACGTTTGCTATTTTTGCTATGATTCCGATTTCGTGGCATGGAACGGGGGTTGATGTTCGTACGTCGCAGTCCCTTTAAGTTCCTGATTCCCGATTTTATAGCAGTATCACTAAACCCCTACGAGGTCGAAGCACAAGAATCGAGCCAGGTCGCCTTCTATCATCTATATGACAGCACTGGGGCTGGTGCCCTTTTGTCCGTTTGATGGGTGTGCAGATATCGGAAGGAACCAGTCGTAGCCAAAAGACCTTTCGTCATTAACTGCAAGCCGTTTTGCTGACTGTTCGCGTTACTTCCCCATCAAACCCCGAGACACCAAAACCAAAACGATTTTAAAGGCTCCAAGCCCATTCCTGTAAGAATTTGTGTTGAAGCTGGCCTTCGGAACAGCATAGGCAAGGCTTCAAGTTTAAATTTGACCCGATTAGAGTGATTGTTGCCCCCACGTACGTCACGCTTTTCATCATCGACTGCAAGCCGCTCGGGCTCGGATCCCCCTCGACACCACGTTTCCCGATCAAAAAGTGTCCCATCGCCTTCGACCCCGGCTCGCGCACCCGGATGTACCCGGGTAATCGAGGGAGCGACACACCCAGGCTACGGTACAGCCGGAGCAAGAAAACAACCCGCAGCCAGGGAACTGCGGGGTAGAATCTGGTAGAACTGCGATTAACCAATACCGTATTGGCAATACTACACGTCGAAAACTAACAGAAAACCACCCGCCGCTGGCCTAAACCCAACAAGAAGTGGTTTTTGAATCTCGTTGGCAAAACTTTTCGTGAACCGGCTAATTCAATAGAGAATTGAATTTTAAACAACACGTCTTTTGCACAATGAATTCCCCTGAGTTTATAAATATTCTAAGCCCAAATTATTGTTTTAAAAAGATTTCGAAAATTCCGGGCTGACCGGAAGAAACGTCGGTAAGCCACGTCCAGTCTGTTTTGAGGATCCGCTCGGACCAAAAAGATTTCGCACTACGAAAATAACACCTCTACCTTCCTGTTGTTTTCGTGCAACTTTGGCAGCAACATCCGAGAAACCGGGTTGATATGCGCCAAAAATAAGCACTTGACGAAACTTACCAAATTTGGGCTAGGACTTGGAATCACCCTTCCGGCGGTCGCTAGGTTTGGAATCCAGCTTAATTTTGCAATTGCTCTAACCTTAACTATCTCTCTCTCTCCTTCTTTCTCTCTCTCTCCCCCTCTCTCTCTGTCTCTCTCTCCCTCTCTCTCTCTCTCTCTCTCTCTTTCCCCTTCACAAAACTGCACCTCCACCGAATTGGGTAATGGCGGTTTGGTGCCTTACGGAGGTGGAACCGGGCTGGCTGTTGAGGTTCAGTAATTGCAAGGAAAGAGAAATCAAGGAGTGACAGTTATGCACAAACGAGGGCGTGCAATCGTATGGGTAGGAAAAATGTGCATGAGAGAGGGTGCAGAGAGAGAGAGAGAGAGGGAGAGAGAGAGAGAGAGAGGGAGAGAGAGAGAAAGAGAGAGACAGCCCTGCTCTACAAAATCCCACGCGGGGTTGGGGAAGAGCCAGTCGGCTGTCCCCACCAATCATGCTACGGTATTCCACGCTAATTCTGATATTTTCGACGTTGGGAACGCTTGGTGAGTACCTCTTCAATTATTGCCCTCTCTCTCGCTCTCTCTCTCTTTCTCTGTCTCTCTCGCTCTAATTCTCTCTATCACGCCCTCTCTCGCCGTCACTCTCTCTCTGGCATTCGTCCTCTCTCTTGCATTCCCTCTCACTCTCGTCACGTCTTGCAATGTTAGCTTTTTAGTGCGATGTTATAATGCACATTACGACATTACTCTATCTGTAATCAGTCGTATTTTCCAGCCTTCTCCCATACCGTCGGCCAGCGCGCAGCTTTCAACGCTTTCAAGCAGCGACAAAGAGCTTTAAGCCGGATGAGCGACGATTCTGGCTATGAAAATCAAGCATTCTGGAGGGGACTGTATTTAAGGGAGGAACGAGTAAGTCTAGAAACGCAAAATTTTGAAGATAATCTTTTAGAAAAATGATCAGCTCGTCTGGCAGCCCGAACTCGAGGGAATAATGGATGAAAATGGGATTTTGGTTGGTTGACAACTTATTTCCGAGCCCCTTGAAAGAAAGGAACTCAAGGTCACTAGCGTCTGTAAAAGGCGCATAACAGTAGTTTTCAAGAAATTGAATTGGCTTTTTTCAGTATCAAGTGCCACGAAGACAAACGCGACTGGGGAGAACGCTAAATCGAGGCCGAGCAAATAACTATTGGCGTGGCTTTGGTCTAAATTTGTGACTTTTACTTCATCGCCATTTCTATCTCTCGTTCTCTCTCACTCTATCTCGCGCTCTCTCTCTCTCTCTATCGCTGCCTCTCTCTTGCTCTTTCTCTCGCTCTTTCTCTCTTTTTCTCTAATACTCGTACCTGCTCCATCGTATCGCCAAACGGGTAACTTATTGTTCAAATGCTGAATTGACAGCTCTGCTTTTTCTAAGCTGTTCATGCCTGTGATCTCGTTTAAATAAATTGTGTATAACTGGAAAATTTGTAATCAAATTACACTTTTAACTTGGTTTTTGTCGATGCATGCAAATTTTCTCTTTAGCCAATATGTATGTAGCATTCTCAGGGATTACTATGACGGATTTAATTTGTATTAATCATCTTTGTCAATCAGTCACTTTTGTGTCAATCTTAAACAAACTCACAATTTAGCTAAATACATGAATAATTCCTTCTAGCTCCAAAAAAACCACCGCCCAACTTGCACCCAATGAATTAGGGGAAACACTGGGGGGCATTTATCACCTCAGTTATCACTTGGCCCAACCCAACTATTCGCAAAGAGAGGGAGAGAGAAAGAGCGAGAGAGACAGACACAGAGAGAGAGATAGCGCAAGCTAATTTTGACTCATTTGTTGTCTAAATCCAGCTTTTTTTTTGAGGCGCGTACATAGTAAACAGGCGGAAAGGGCCTAAATAATGGGGGTCAAATTGGGCTTGTATATAAATTAGGTACCTGGTGTTTAGGGCACACTTTACTTTCTAAAGAATTCATTTCTAAATGCTGTCAATAACTATTTTATTCTTCGCCCTAGCTACAGTAATCCTTGGTTTTGAGGAATTTGCCGAGCCGATACAATTGGCGGAGCCGAATAAGGTACGAATATCGATAACAACCCATTTTGCAAATCTAAGTGCTCTTGGAAGCGTAATCAGCTTATCTATTTTTTATGTTTTAAATTTCAACGTTTTAAAAGGGTCGGGAAGCATTCCGGTAGGAATTTTTAAGGATGGCGTCTACGAGTTCACCCTCGTCGTCGACAGCAAGCTGACGATGAGCTACGATCGAGAAGTTTTCAACTATAAGACCCCTGTGGACTATGATCCGGATGCGGTAGGCACTTGTACAAAATACTCTCCATTTACAAAAATCAATAAAATTGAATTTTTGGGTGATAGTCGGAATCTCGAAATTTCGGAATCTCGAAATTTCGGAATCTCGAAATTTCCGAATCTCGAAATTTCTGAATCTCGAAATTTCGGAATCTCGAAATTCCGGAAATATTAGCAGATTCCTGGAAGCAAAACTATTATGTATCCAAATTTTTCAGATACAAATACAAGATTTCCGATAAAACGAAAAGTAGACCCTCTAAAAAAGGTGTTTATCAACTCGTCGTTTCAAGGGCTTTCGGATGGTATAACTATCATCCCGATCCGACGCTTCTCCGTCGAGTTAGAGGGGGTCTACTTCTCGTTTTATCGGAAATCTTGTATTTGTATCTGAAAAATTTGGATACATAATAGTTTTGCTTCCAGGAATCTGCTTATATTTCCGGAATTTCGAGATTCCGAAATTTCGAGATTCAGAAATTTCGAGATTCGGAAATTTCGAGATTCCGAAATTTCGAGATTCCGAAATTTCGAGATTCCGAAATTTCGAAATTCCGACCCCTACCCGAATTTTTAGCGCAAATTCACGTCTCGAAACACTACCGCAGGATCGGAGTGCCAGGCATCGATCGACAAAGTTCCATTTGAATTCGGGGAAACTCAGAATTTTGTGGGAAAGTTGAGGTAGGAAGAGAGAGAGAGAGGGAGAGAGATAGATAGACAAAGAAAATTCTGTTTTTAGCGACATCATCATGGCCGACGGGTTGCATCGAAGAATTGTGGCGATTAATGGAAAGAGGTACCGTTATGAACGTCTCTCTCTCTCTCTCTCTCTCTTCTCTCTCTTCTCTCCTCTCTCGAACTCGCTGATCTGGATTTTTTAGCCCCGGCCCCCTCCTCGTCGTCCCCTTCAATGCCGAGGTCCACCTCATCGTCCACAACATGCTCTACCTCGAGAGCTTTAGCATCCACGTCCATGGAATTGATAAGAAGGTATAATTTTCAATTGCATAACCTTAGTTATAGTTCTTATGTTATTACTTTAGCACCGTATTAGCAGTATCATTTTGTAGTTAACAAAAAAAAACTATAGTCTCAATTTTTAGGGCCAATGGTACGAGGACGGTGTCGCCTTCATACAGCAGTGTCCGATTCAGACGGGTGGAACGTGGGTTTTAAAAATTAAATTGGGGCAGAGACAAGGAGAAGCTAGCATATGCCCTTTGCGGAATCAAAGATGCATTTTTCAGCTATGAGTACCGCTTTATCGCCGATCGTTCCGGGACCCACTGGTGGCACGGCCATCTGCAGATGGACCGAGGGGATGGGCTGCTTGGGGGATTTGTCGTGCTACCGTAATCCAAGAAACCTTAACTTGTAAATTGCTAAATTAAGGGAGAATCGCACTGTTCCGACCGCCGGTGGAACACGCGTGCTACCGAAAAGGGAGTACTACATGATCTTGCAGGTAATTGGTTAGGATTGCTTGTTCTCTCTCTCACTCCCTCGCTCGCTGTCTCTCTCCCTCCCGCTCTCTCTCTTTCACTCTCTCGCGCTCGCTCTCCTTTTAGCAAGAATCCCTGCTAGCCTACCTCTCAATTCCAGGATTACGTTCGTCAAATGCCGCAGAAGGAACGCGTGAAAATGGTGTTCGAAGATACGACCAAGTGGTACTACGGATTCCAGGACCCAAAGCAATGCTTCGATGGACTGAGGATGAGCGATGGATGTATGTGAGATTCTAGAGAGAGAAAGCGAGAGAGAAAGAGAGAGAGAAAGAGAGAGAGAAATAAGTTGCTGAATTTAGCCAACGTCGGAGCTGCTTCTCCATTCGACACGATTCTAATCAACGACAAGGGCTGGTACAACGATAAAGACATTAAGCAGAGACCTGAAATGCTGAAGCTTGAGACGTTCCGGATTAAGAAAGGTGAGAGAGAGCGAGAGAGAGAGAGAGAGAGAGAGAGAGAGAGAGAAAGTGAGAGTCGATAAAGTATGATTTTTTCAGGCGAAACCCTGCTCTTCCGAATCGTTAACGGTGCTGCCAACACTAACTTCATGATTCACATCCGGGGCCATCAGATGACGCTCGTGGGCGCAGATGGCAACGAAATGCAGCCGATTACGGTATGAAACACTTAAATAAACCGGTTCACTATAAAAAAACGAACAAAGCCCTAAAACCGGCAATACATATTTTTCAGGCCGACAAATTCATCATTATGCCGGGGGAGCGGTACGATTTCGTGACCAAAGGACTGGACAACCCAACGCAAAAAGTCTACTATCTCCAAGTGGAAACGCTACAGGTATAATTCCCATAGGTGTATTTCGAACTCTTCCGTATTTAGTACCTCCACGGAACGAAGATCGACAAGGCCGGATTGCAATACGGGTTGGGAAGAATTTACTACGAAGATGAGGAGGATAGAGGTGAATATCGATTCTTATGTACGAGCTACAAAGAAAGTCTGCTCTTAACCTAGGCTAAGAGAGCTACCTAAACCACAAGGTTCAAAACAATAGACTAAAAACCGCGACTATTTTTAGAAATCGTCCCCGAATCTCCGGCCAAATTTCTGCACCCAGAATGCACGAAAGCCAAAAAGTGCAAGGTCTACAACTGCCCATTTAAAGTATTCCCGCCTGGAGAACGATTTGAGTGCATACCGTAGGTGTTTGGAATCTCTCACGGGCTCTCGCTTTACCTGCCTTTCTCTCTCTAGCTTCTAAAATCTTGCCATTTTCAGCTTTTCCGCGCTCCGTTCCCCATCAAAGCCGACAGATCCGGAAATTGTGAAAGACACGAACTTTGATCAGGGCTTTGAGGTAAGGATTTCCTCTCTTTCACTCCCTCTCTCTCGCTCTCTCACTTTAGCTGTTTTTAGGAACACTTTGTCAATATGCAATTCGATACGAACGTCAATGGCTGGAGCTTCAAGATGCCGAAAGGCATGCCGTATTTCCACGAGCAGGATTTGTACGACATTGCCACGCCTTGTAATCAGGTACCTATTTGACTCTCTCTCTCTCTCTCTCTCTCTCTCTCTCTCCATCTCTCTTTCTCTCTCGCTCTACATTCAATTCCTTTAGACACTCTGCGCAAACGCTCCTCGCCACGATTTGCGCTGCCGGTGCTTCTTTCACCTGCGACAGAAACTGGGGAACATAATTCAGGTTTCTAAAAGTTTATCTGGTTGCCATAACCGACTTCTTGTAGTTGACGCTCTACAACATGCACGCAACGCTAGGATTGGCTGCTCATCCGATTCATATCCATGGGCATCATGTCAATATTATGAAGGTGAGGGAGAGCGAGAGCGAGCGAGAGAAAGAAAGAGAGAGATACAGGGATAGAGAACTTACGCCCTAATTTCCAGATGGGATGGCCAAAAACCAACTCAACCGGCCAAGTCGTTGGGATGAATGAGGATTTGAACTGCTCGGCGCCGTTCATCAATGTGATAAGAGAATGAGAGAAAGAGAGAGAGAGAAAGATAGAAAAAAGTGGAATCAAAGTAACAACCCCTTTAGAACGGCGACAAGGTGCTGAACTACTGCAACAGCCTGGAGTGGGCCAACAAGACGTTGGCTCAACGGGGCGGTGCCCGGCATGAATACCGTAGATCCGCCGCTACGGGACACCTTTGTGTTACCAGTTGGTGGATACGTGGTGCTGAGGTGAGCAGGAGAGAAAGCGAGAGTTCGAGAGAGAGCTATAGAGAGCGAGAGAGGCTAAGATCCCTCGACCTCCTTTAGGTATCGAGCAATCAACCCCGGCTGGTGGTTCCTCCACTGTCACCTCGAGCTCCACGCCAGTTCCGGCTCAGCCTTTGCCTTCAAAATTGGGGACGATTCTCAGATCCCGAAGCCCCCAGCGACTTTCCCGCATGATTGTGGGCTTTATCGGAATCCGGAGGTAAGTAACTTTTTAAATATTTATATTTCTTATTTCTTGGCAATATTTATTACTGTTTACTTCTAGATTTCTCAATTGGCCCGAGACTTTCGCGACGGGAAGCCGATCTATTTCGGGGATGGTGTGAAGACTAATATGTAATAATATTTTTTGGGCGTGGATGTTTGTACAAATTGAATAAATTGTTGAGCTATTAGAAGCAAGTGGTGATTCCATACGAGCGGCTGAAGCTAAAAAACCGGTTCGGAGCGTGGAAGCTGAAGCTCGAGCCTAAACCTAAACCTAAATCAAAGCCAAAACCTAAGCCGACGCCTTGGCTGAAGCCCAACAAGCTCAAGTTCAAGGTCAAGCCTTGTAAGGTCAAGCTCAAGGGTTCATGCTCAGGATCCGTTCCGGTTCCATACCTTGCATCGACCGAAATTCTACCGAGATTTTGGCTTCTCCGTCCCTTTAATCCCACCCCCAATCGATGCTTCCTCGAATTCTGTTTACCCCTGGCTTGCCAAATTCGCTCGGCAAGCCCAAATTCCAGGGCTTATCAACGTGGGACCAAAATTGGCACCAGAAAATGGCAATCGGGTGCGGTGACGGGTGACAATTTGCGAACTTTTTCCGAGTCACTTTTCGCAAAAAGCGATGACCCAATGTCGCCATTGTAAGGAGCAATGCCGTCTGCACAATCGACAATCAATGGCCGAGAATTTGCGCCAAGCGATGGCACCCCATCTACCGAGCCGGGCCCGAGATCAGGGAGTGCAGGTGGGCTTCAGGGGGCCTGGAAGTCATGAAGCCCCGCTAAACCTGGCAAATATTCTTTCACTGAAAGGCTTAAAAGGTCATGTTTAGGCAACCGTGACAACTTTGACCGAGTTTCCGGATCCTGATGCTGTAGACGACCATCCCCCACCGGTATATCTTAGCTTCGATTTTTTTACAGGAAATGAAAAAGAGAAAAATACAAGATTTTAGCTGCTACTGCTCGTCAGTGGATAAAAGCTTTAAAAATTACGCAAAAATCTCGGTGATTTTTAGCCGCCTCCGCGACGTGCCGCCCCACGCCGTCTCCAAGTATGCAAAGCCCACCTACATTTGATGTTGTGATTCATAATTTTTAGAGCGCCCAGAAAGACGTAATCGGCGAGCTGGCGGCAAAGCTGCGCAATAATATGCGGCTCCCGGAAAAGCCGGAAATTATTGAATTAAAGGTCGCTAAGGTCAGTGCTAAGGAACTTGTTCCCTATCGCTCGCTAGTCATAGCTTTCTCTCCCGCTCTCCCCCTCTCTCTCTCTCTCTCTCTCTCTCACTCTCTCTCGCTCCCTCTCACTCTCTCCACTCTCCCTCTCGTCCTCGCTTCCTATCTTTCTCTAGTAGAATTTTCAGAAGCTCGCTGAATTGCCAAATTTTCGAGCTGCAGCCACAGGTTGTCAATTGGCAAAATGCCGAAAAACATGACCAACCTACGGAACCGGGAGCAGAACCAATCTACGCTAACCCGTCAGAAGACGATTGGAGGAGACAAGTCGTCTGGAGGCGAGAGCCAAAAAGCTACCGACCGCCTCCTACTCCTGAAGAGAAGCTGGAGACCGAGCTCCGCCAGCGACGTGACCACCAAGTCAAGGTCTACGCGAAATTCCTCAAGGTTTGAAATAACCACAAAAAAAAACAAAAAAAAACAAAATAACCAAAATTTTTTTTAATTTTAGGACACAGTCGCTGTTCACGGCACCAAGCCAACGGTTTTTGAATCATGCACGCAAATGTGGAATACGATTCGTGAAGAGCTCGAGCACAGAATTGCGCTGAAGACGACGCCGAGTCGGATTGACGAAGAGCTGAGGCTGTTCGACGAGGCTTGTGATGCGCTTCTTCGCGTCAAGTTCGGCAAGGGAATGCCGTAGAAAGGAACAATGACAGTGGAATAAAGCCCATCGTCAAAATGGAATCAAATTGTGTTTTTCATTCCGATACAATAGTCGAGATCTAGGCTGGTATTTTCCTTTGGCGAAAATCAGATTCTCGAGATGAATTTGTCGGAAATGTTGCATTTTTAGTTTTTCGAAATTTCAATGATTTTCGAAAACTGACTTTATATCTGTTTGAGGTCGATAAATTTCCGGAAAATCCGTCGAAATGAAATTTCAATAAATGAAAATATCGACAAAATTGGTTTTGGCATGCCGGCAAAGAAGCGTGGATTATATTTACTTTCGACCTGTCGACGTACCTTTAGAGAGAACATACCCTCGTAAGTATGATTTCCGAAAGTTAATCCGTAACTGTTTACAATTTTTCATTCGTTCTCAGTTGGGCTGGGTTTCCGAGCAGTTCGGGGAGTCTTATCATGCTACTCCAGATTTCTGGTGCAAGAAATTGGCCGCCGGGAGATCGATGCCCCCTGCTTTGAAGACGCTGCGTCTTGTGAGAATGTTTTCGTAAATTTTACATGTTTTAGTAACTAAGAGGTTAACTAAATCACCTAACTAACGTAATTAGTTCTTTCCAGGTGACCCTCTAACTTGGATGAGCGGGTTACGCGAGTTCATCAGAAGTCTTTTGTTTCGACCTCCTGTCAGAGGGGAGGCCATTCCTGAACCCGAGGTGATATAGAAACTCATGCGATTTGATACGGATTTGTTTTGCTATTTTTTTGTAAAATTTTAAATAAACGGAATATTATGTGAATTTTTAGGCACTACTTGAAGTTACAATGGACGAGCTGGCGGAAACGATGCGGAACTCCATGAAAATTGACTTGGACCTGGAACATGTGGAATCAAAGGGAGCCCAGGTATGGGATTCTTAACGACAGAGAAAACACCTCGAAGAGAGAGAGAGCGAGAGAGAGAGGGAGAGAGGGGGTGAGAGAGAGGGGGTGAGAGCGCGCGATAGAGAGAGAGAGGGAGTGAGAGAGCGCGGTAGAGAGACAGAGAGGGACGGAGAAAATTTTTTGGTTTTAGTCCGATGAGGCCACCAGCGACTACGGTGGTTCCGTAATGACAAGTGTCAGCGCGAGATCTGATGCTGCCATCTTGACGAGCAACACTGCGGATTCTGTGCCAGCGTTTCAGGTAGTTTATCTAAATTCTTGCCGCTTCGCGGTCCCCTTAAAGATTCGCCTTTTCATTCCGATCCTAAGCTTCCTGCCACTCTTCCTTTAATGCCCTTCTCCTTAAAAAACCTCAAAAATGTCATTTCCAGCTCCAAGTCCAATCTCCTACGCTCTACCTGCAGGGCTGCGACCTTTTCAACCCGGAAGTGGTACCCGTCGTTGAAGAGCAAATGAGAGAAGACCAAGCAGATGTGATCCAAGCGCCAGAAATCCAACAGAATCAGCGATACCTTGCTACATCGTATCGCAATAGATCGGTCTCCCCGATCCCCGCCCGGGCCCCCACCCCGGAGGAGAGGCTGGAGAATGACATCCGCCAGCGACGGGAGCATAGCGTGCAAGTCTATGCAAGGGTTATACAGGTTGGGGTCGGATTCCTCTCATCTCCCTATCTCCCTCTCTCTCGCTCTCGCTCTGTCTCTCGCTCTCTCGTTCTCTATCTATCGCTCTCTCTCTCTCTCTCTCTCTCGGTCTCTCGCTCTCTCTCATTCCTCTCTCGTTGGCCGATTTCGACAAAAATAGCATTTTTTAGAATTGGACCGCCAGCCATGGCACAGGTGCTTCCGACTTCGAGACGTGCCTAAAAATGTTCAACGACATGCGCGGAGATCTACAGCTGGCCATTGGGGCGAGGGCGACGTCATCCAACCAAATCAACGAAGAGCTGGAGCGCTTTGACGAGATGTGCGACACCCTTCTGCGCGCGAAATTCGAGAAGGGAATACCGCAAGCTGGAAACTCGGCTTGAATTTACGTTTTGGTCAAGCCTGTAATAAACACTGTACTTTTTAGTTTGTACTTTGAACGGCACAAACAATTGAGGCAAAAGTGGTCTTTTACTTTGTTGGGAGGCGTTTTTAGGTGAATACGCCTAGCCGAATGACTCACCTGCCTCTACTGTTCCCTAAAAATGGCTTGACGTATGCACCAATTTTTTTTTTTGACCAAGTCCTGGAGTGGTGGTAATTTTCTTTCGCCACAAAATTAACCACAGCAACCACACCCCCGTCGTCGTGGATTCGTATCAAACGCCAGGCTTCCCATGCAATCTCTTGCGCGAAAAAATAGGACCACCTTGGCGAAGGATTAATCAATAAACCTATTTTTTTAGCTGAGATTTAGGCTTAGGCTTAGGCTTGGGCTTAGGCTTCAGCTTAGGCTTAGGCTTAGGATAGGCTTAGGCTTAGGCTTAGCCTTGGGCCTATGCTTAGACTTAGAACTAAGCTTAAGCTTAGGTTGGCTTAAGCTTGGGCTTAGGCTTAGGTTAGGCCGAGGCTTGGGCTAAAGATCCATTTTTTTGGTAGAATGTTGACGTTGATTTTGTGCTAAAATGTAAGATGTTGGTAAAAATGGTAAAAACTCCATTTTTCCGGCTTACTGTAGGAAATGGATTAATATTTAAGAGCTTATTACTTCTATACGCTTCCACTAAATCTCCGTTATTTCTTATCATTTTTAGGGTGTGTAAGGTGCTTAGGTTGGCGGTCACCTGACCCTCAGGGACATTCGTTTGCTAAAGAAAATTACGAGAAACCAGGCCGTCGTCACAAACAACTTGCGAAATTCTAAGACCTCAGCATAATTTTTCGCGTTTTTTTTTGCTTCGTGTTCTTTCACTTTAGCTCCATTTCTGCTGCTTATCTTTTATTTTAAGCATGAGCGATAAGGACGAGGTACTGGATATGAATCTTTTGGAGGCGCAGGCAACCAGGGAGCCCGAGCCCGAGCCCGAGCCCGAGGCGGTAAACGAGCAGCAACCGGAAGTGCCGCAAATTCCAGTAGGTGTATTGAGACGACGTAAAGTTTTCCGAAGCTATAAGTGCTTGCCATCACAATGCCGAAAACGAAAATCCAAATTTGGAATGTCTAAATTTCATGGTGTCGACATTTCATAATGCCAAAATTCGGAAAGACGAAATTCACAAAGTCGAAAATCATAACGACGTCGTGATTCTAAATGTGAAGATTTCATAATGCTTAAAACAATGCCGAAATTTTTTAATTTCGCAATTCGTAATGATGAGATTTAACAACGTCGTAAGTTCATGATATCAAAATCCAATATTGTCTAAATTCGATGATGACAAAACTAAGAAAGGCGAAATTTCATGAAGTCCGAATTTTTGCATAGAATTTGTGGATGTGATTATGTAAATTTAGACATATTGAAATTTTGGCATTATTAACTTTCGGCAATATCGGTATTCTGAAATTTCCTTATTAAGTCCATATGAATTTCGAACTTATGATTTTAACATTTTGGGATTTGCCGGGCGGTCGCCTTTTCCCATCGCTTTGAGCTGCTCGCATCGAAAAAAGCGCAAAAAATCTAAAAAAGAGGTAGAAGATCATTGCGCGTCGCATGTCGCAGTAGAAAATCAATAACAAAATCCATTAACCTTATTGCCCTATTAAGGTAACGCGCGCTCCAATACCGGCACCGTTGTTGCGAGACATTGCTGGGTCCAGGAGAGCTCCAACAATTCCGCCAAGAAGAAACGAAATGGATGGGGAAAGCCTCGAAGAGACGCTCAAGGCCATACTCCTTTGGACAGCATTTCTCGCAGCAAGTTTTTTCGAATTTTCAGAGGCGCCGCTTGGAAATATAATATGAATTATTATTATCATTATTATTATGAAGCAAAATCTCAGGCTCCGAAAGAAAGCGCAGTTGACTGGCTGTACTGCGCAACGCAGTACTTACGGATGTACGACGAACTCAAACAATTTCACGTGGCGCGCGGGCATCCTCCTGCCGAAGTCTTGAAGCAGATGGGCATCTTCAAAGGTATCACGTAAGACGGTTTTTTATCTTTATCTGCCTAGTATCTGGTAATTCTGCGCTTTCATTCTACGCCGGAATCCACCAAGCCTAAACCTAAGCCTAAGCCATGCCTATGCGCAAGCCCAAGCCTAACCTGAGCCTAAGCCTTAATAAGCCAAAGCCCTAAACCTAACCTAAGCCTAAGCTTAGCCGTAACCTATGACTAGCAAAGTCTATGCCTAAGCCTAAGACAAAGACAAATACTTGATTTAATAAACTACGTAAAATCCATCGTATCTCATAATCGAAAGCTTCAAAAAGCTTTTAGCCACCTGTAGTGCGGAGCTTCGAAGGGTTTACAACCTCCCGCTATACCTAGATGAGAAATTGGTAAGGCCCTTAAATATACCTCATCCGAGTCCCAGGACCTCAACGAGCGCAAGGTTTGGCGTCAAAAACTGCTACGGCTCTACAAGCTACGCATCCTGCCATGGGTCTGCAAGCTCGACTACGAGGAAGCTGAGAAAATCTTGAAGGGCGAATTACTCAATGTTAGTAAGAGAGGGGAGACGGTGAGCGAGAGGGAGAGAGCGTCAGAGAGCAAGAGTGAGAGAGAGCGGAAGAAAGTATTTTCTAGAAGCTGGAACAAGTCAACAAGCTAGCCGACGATCCTCTTGCATCCGGCTTTATCGTCATGAGAAACCTACTCGACTTGGTAATTCTGGCAGTTTCTAAGCACGACCACGAGAAGCGACTATACACTATGCTCCAGAAGACTGCCGTAGCGGCGTGGATCGACTGCTTAAGGGAATTTCCAGACGAGGTAAGCGAGATATATAAGGACAGAGAGAGAGAGAGAGGAAGCGAGAGAAAGACAGCGCGAGAGAGAGAGCGAGACAGAGAGAAACAATATTTTTCCAACCCCAGCGTGTTCGGATCGAGAACCTTCGGCGCGTAGAACGACTCCAGGGGTCAACCGACGCCACCTACAACGACTTCCTTGAAACTTTGCATCAGCGGCTGAGACCTGGACAGCCGATACCATAGCGCCAAATGCGTCCGTGAAAAAACATCTTGTCTTCTTTCCTTCTTTCAAGTTTTTGGCGTGGCTACACTTTATTTAAATAAAGCACTTCTACTGTATGATATACTTTAATCGATTGAAAAACTACATCATCAATTACGGTATCTACCCCAGTTACAGTATCTAAAAAATGCCAGCTTTTTTATATAAGCCCCCGCCATGCCACTGGTCCAAATCAATATCTATCCAATTTCTGGTGCAAGGAATTGGCCCGGTCCATTTAAGCGGTATTTTTTGTGCAAGAAAATTGCCAGAGAAGGGAAGGAGACAGCGAGACCAAGCGATGACGCATATAACCAATTTTTCTCAAGTTTATTTGAAAAAATGTCTTCTTTTGCGAATTTATTGATCGCTCTGCCCTCTCCCCTCACGCCCGATATTTCTTATCGGTTTTTATTGAGCCACCCGTCGCTACAGGCCATTCTGTTGCAGAAGAAAATGGCCGAGAACCAGGCCCCGATAGCCCCGCAAAAATTTCCGCAAATCGTTTGCTTGTTCCTTTGTTTTTGCAAATTTTATCATCAATTTGGCCAGAATTTTCATGAAAATCGGTTTCAAAACATTTTAGAATCGTATAATTTTATTTTAAGGAAGTTTTCTAGTTTTCAGCAACAATATTTAGCTGCTCGCTGGATTGTGAGGAAATCGGTCCGGAAGGATGGAAAATGAGGTAAGCATAGGAATTGTGGTTGATTTTTGAGAGAGATGAGCGAAATGAGAGAGCGAGAGAGAGGGAGAGAGAGGGGGAGAGAGAGAGCGGGGAGTGCGCAAGGCTACAAGCGTACCATGCTAATCCTCTGTGTCAAGACTAGAAAATCTGACGAAATTCAGGAAACCATAGCCACTTTCGAAAATCCACCGGCGGTCGGTCCAACTCCGCATCCGGCAAGTTTAAAGGTCTCAATTAATAAAAACAAGAATTTGAGGGATGCCGTAATCCCTCTGGCTCGGTGAACATGCAGGACGTCGTGCTCCCTGATTCTGGACCGGTATACATGCTTTTGAACGTTCAAACCTTAGCAAATTAGAAGGATTTTTGGGACCAGACGATTCCGGCCGGGCAGGGCGCTGAAAACGGCTCAAAAGAGCAGGATGGCTTCGTGGTTTTCGCCGCGCCTAACGATTCTCAAGGGCCACCTGGTGCTCAAAATAGCCCGGAAGGACAGGTGAAGACGCACACTTTAAAAAACTAGCACGGCTTGAAAGCAAGTAATTAAGATAATTACCTTAAAAACGTGACGCTATTTAAACTTCAACTCCTGCAGGATACTTCGGGGAACTTTTCGTGTCGCGCCGAGCAAGACGACGTCGAATACGGGTCTGAAGCGTCAGGCGATAGTTCGACTTTTGATCGTGATGGACATGTGGCGGTTGCGGGACCGAATGAGGAACCGATGGTGATTTTTTTTGAAACGCTGCAAGGCCGTATTGCCGGGATTTTGTAGTAACTCCTTTACATTGCCAAGGCCTCGAAACTCCAAATCTCAAATCATAATTTTCTTAGGTAATGCTGGATCAACACCAGCAAAGGGGCGGTTATGGAGAACGTGAATATGCACATCAGGAAACGAGAAACGCGGTAAAATTTGGCTACCAATTTTTTCAACCTTTCCAGCCGCCCGTACCTGCCCATGGAGCTTCGAGTAGCGGCCAACATTTGGCATCGTCAACGGTAGCCCTAGTAATAATCAAATTATCGTTAATGGTTGCATTTTGAGGCCAACAACATTGCTGCACCGCTGGTCCTTGTCAGCTTCCCAGACGGAAAAATCAAGTTTCATGAGGACGTCGCGATGCGCACTTTTGCCAGTCCGGCGTATAGAGGCAAAAAGGTACCGTGGCTACGTTATGCTACGATCCTACCTTATCCCTTGTCTGAAAGGAGCATGACCCGAAATGCTGCTTTTTCCAGGGATGGCAAAATCGGCCGAGCCGGGCGGGCCGATCGGCCGAGCCGAAAGCCGACTAATTCGGCCACTTCCGGGCCGATTTCTGTATGCTAATTTTTTCGGCCGAGCCGATCGGCCCGGCCGAATTTTTGGGAAATCGGCCGAGCCGATTCGGCTTGGCCGACATTATGTAAATTATATGTAAATTGATGTAAATGAGAAAAACCATAATGGATGGGGGGCTAAACATGTATTGTCGCGTGCGAGGCACCAGAATAAAATGCCGACAACTGAGACCCAAGCCTGGGTAACACCGGCCGAAATATCGATTCCAAAATCACGAATTGATAATTCACGATTCGCCGCTTCGAAATTCAGAATGCCGATCAGGTCCAGTAGGCATTTTACTTGCTTAAGGAAAACGATAAAAAATAAATTGGAAAAATAAATTCGAAATTTTTTTTGAGGAATTTTTGCTTGGTAACTATCATGTCGGCTTTCGGCTCGGCCGATCGGCCGGGCCGACTGAAGGCCGAAAATCGGCCCTGGAACGGCCGATTCCGGAAGCGATCGGCCGAGCCGAATTCTAATAGGCCGATATTCAAATCCAGGCCGAAAAAGCCGATCGGCCCGGCCGATTGCCATGCCTGGCTTTTCAGATAAGTCTGGTGTCGGTTATGGGCCCGTCTCGCTCGGGGAAAAGCTTCTTCATGTCGTTGATGATCAACGGTTTGCAAGCCGGTCCGGGCCATCGGAAGGTCGTAAGGTTAGTAATTGTCAGCTATAAAGCGGAAAATAAAAATCGGTACTATCCCGATAGCTGTAAGGGAAAAAATTCTTCATTAAATTCTCTCCACTAATATTCTTCAAAAGGAAAAATATGACATTTTTAGCGGCTTCTTTAAATCCGGATACGAGCGCCACACCGAAGGGATTCTGATCTTTGAGAAGCCGGCACTTGTCGGAAACGACGAAAATGTAAGGTTATCGGATTCTCTCTCTCTCTCACTCTCTCTCTCTTTCTATCGCTCTCCCTCTCTCGCTCTCTCTCGCTCTCTCTGACTCTCTCTCGCTCTCTCTCTCCCTCTCTCTCCTCTTGACGATTTTCATTTTTAGCATCTTATCTTCTACATCGACACCCAAGGAACTTTCGATCTCGAGACCGAGCGCAGCACCTCGCTTTGGATAGCTGGGTTCAGCTTTTTGCTCGCCGATATTCAGGTATGAAAATTGGATTAGCAATTCTTAGAGCAAAATAACAAAACAAATACTCATATGCGTGAAATTTTCGAGCAACTTCTGAATTTTTTAGATCGTCAACCTACGCTCAAACATTGGTGGTGATAACCTGCACGATATCCATACCTTTACGGAGGTTGCAGCGGCCTGTTCGACCAAAAGTTTGGCAAAGGTATCTTATGTACAATTGTAAAGGAAGCACATCGTTACAGTACCTCATCTGGCTTCTTCGAGACGCCTCCGACTCAACAGAAACCGATTACCTGGCGCAACTTTGGGCAAGGATTTTGCAGCTTCGTAGCTTGTAGCTTTCTCGCTGTCTCTCTGTCTCTCTCTCCCTTTCTCTCTCTCTGTCTCTCACTTGTTAGCTCTCTCGCTCGCTACCGTATTTTTAGGAACAATGCGAAAAAGCGAGCGACATGAAGGAGATGGCTGCTGGGTTGCGGGAAAAATTTAAAGATCGAATGGCTTGCCACTGCATAACCCCGGCCGGAAAGGCTATCCGAGAAGCTTCAGGGAGTGTGGAAATTAGTCAAGGTGAGAGAGAGCGAGAGAAAGAGAGAGAAAGAGAGAGTAACCTAAGCTTTTCAGGCGATATGACCCTGATCAGCCAACTCAACAAAGTCATCGAAGCTGTGAAAGCTGAATGCAAAAAGAGCTATCACGAAAATGGGGAAATGCTAGTGGATACCTGCAATGTAAGGAAAAATCAAATGCTAAGAAGATTTATTTAGAAAATTGTAAGCTTCCTGGAAAAAGATGCGCCGACACTAACAACATCAGTGGAGGTAGAAAATATTTTTTTCTCTGCTAATTCAGCTCGGAATTTAGGTGATCAAAGAAGCAAACATTACGGTGACGGTGAATCGAGCTTTTGAAATGTTCCAGGCGTCGTTGAAGGTATATTTTTGGGAGCGCAAGCCTAGACGTGCAATCGGCTTTAGGGCGTAACGCTCGATCATTTTGACGATGCCGTATTTACCGGAAAGAAAAACGCCGATCGGAAATTGAAAGAATCGCTCCCGACAAAGCTTTTGGAAGAAGCTAAGAAGGGGCTGGCTGAGAAGGTTGAGGTACGACTTCAAAAAAAATTTCATACTAAAAAACTCTGTTTATCACGTTAAAAAATATTTACGCTTTGCAGCCTGCCATAAAGGCCAAGCGAGAAGAACTTCTGAAGATTGAGTCCGAGAAGCAGGCGCTCGGGAAACTAGACGACATCGTGCTGGAGTGGAGGAAGAAGATACAAATGGTAATTTTCGAATTTTAATGCTATCTTGACAAAGTAATGAAAACGTTTTTAGATCAATAAATACGAAGAGGCCGTTGAGCTTCAGGAATCCACGGAAATTTCTGAGAGTTTCGCGAGGAATTTTCCTAATGTGGGCTGCAAGGATCAGGTTTCGCTGCTAAAGGTAAAAAAATATTTTGATTGATTTTGAAAACTCGCACTGAAAAGAAAGGAAGATGTCATCTTTTAGAACACCCTGGAAACGAGGATTGCCAATTTACGAGGCCAATACCTTCGTCAAAAATTGGATGAGACCGAGCGACAGTTCCGGGACTTCATGATGAACGTAAATGATCGTAAAAATCCAAACCAAAATTTTTAGAAAAAAATGGGATCCACTGCCGACCCTGGACTCTCTGCAGCAAGAAGCGATTAGGGCCCTGCAAAAAATGCACGCGAACCTGCTCGAGTCGGCAAAAGATGATGGCAAGAAATATTGTGAAGAACGCGGTGTTTCTGCGCTAAATGTGGGTTTTTTTAAGAACAAAAAAATATCGGACTGTGCCTTCCGCTTGACTAATTGATGCCAATTGCAGGAAATCGCCACAGAATGCCTAGAGCGGCTCCAAAAAAATAGAGCAGCCGAGGAAGCGCTAAAGCGAGCAGAGGAAAAACTGAATGAAGCGGTTAGCCCTCAAAACCAAAAATTCCGAAAATCCATTTAGGTGAAATTTGAGCGCTATGATACAGGGAATTCCGTCTTCGAATCGTCGCAGGTTCGAGCAGCAAGCTTGACAAAGTGGCAAGAAAACACGACGCAGTTGCTCAGAGACGCAGCGAACACTTCAAGCGCAACAGAAAGGTCGGTAAATAGGATAGAACGGTAGAATGGAATTACGGATTTTTAATCTTCCCTTTCCCCGTCCGCAGGTTATGAAGCTCTCGAGATGGTTTGTTGTATCCAGCAAAACGTTTTTAGGAACAAAGTTGACCAAGCGCAGGGGTGCTTTCCGGTAGTAGCGCCGTCAGCGCCAATTCGCGCAGCTGCACCGTTGCGGGCTAATGATTTCCAAGGAACGACAGCATTTGGAAGGTCTGGAATGTGTGGTAGATGAACCCGCCCATGATTAGAATATCCACAGATTCGGTTGATCTCGATCCAACCGCCCTGTATATGCAGCCATCATCCGCCTTAGAGGCTACAAAAGCCAAATTGGAAGGTAAGAAGATTTTTGAATACTCGCTTTATTTATAGAACGGAAAGCAGCTGTGAGGTCCCGAGAAGTGGCTGGGAGGAAAACGCCCGAACAGCTGGCCGAGGAGAAAAGTTGGCATTACGAACATTTTAGCCTGTTCTAAAGGGTAGCTTAGGAAACTACCGTAAAAATCATGTAAGGTCCGCTTGGAAAAGTTATACGTATCTAGCGCTTGGGGTTTATTTTCAAAATGTCGAAAATCATCGAAATTCAAAATGTCGAAATTCATAATGTCGAAATTTTATAATGTCGAAATTTCCTTGGAAAAGCCTATACGCGCATAGTGATCTAGTAGAGCGAAAAATTCGTTATCAAATACGCTTATTTTGTTGGTTAATACACAAAACTTAGAACCTTAAAAGCCGTGTTAACCACGCGGCAATTGAATACTCGGCCAACTGCAATCACAGACCACGCAGTATGTTACTTTAGGCCAGCTGAAGGAGCAACAGACGCATGATGAAGTGACGCGAAAAAATGAAAGGGTTCACTTTTTTCGTCGAGGTAAGATGGTATCTCTTGTACCATCCGAATCATGTAAATAAATTCTTAATTTTAGGAGCTGAAGTCGCGAGCCCCAGTCAAAGTCGCTCCAGCCGGGCGGATGAACAAGTTCATGGGAAACAAATACAAACGCGATGCCGAAGGAGACGACGGGCTATTTGAAACATGTCTGGCCGAGTATCAGAGGCTGAGCGAAGAGCTGGAAATAATTTTGCAAAAGCGACTTGTCCCTCGTGAAGACGTCGATGAATACCTAAACACATTCGAGCATTACAGCAGCAATATTTTGCGCGGATGGCTGGAACGTGGTATCGATGAGCCCAAAAACGATCATGTGAGTTCTTGATAATTACATTGTGCGGTGCCATGTGTCTCGGAGAAAATTGTGTGGAAACTTTTGTCATTTCCAAGTAACTGCGCCTTCCAGGCCGGCAGCACGTCGACGTTACGCAAGGAATTTGTCATGAAGGGATTCGATGCTTGGTCACGTCAGAAGAAGACGCTGAACTACAAAAAGCTGAAGGCCCATTATCGACATTATCTAAGGAAGGTAATCGAGCTGAGCAAATTATGTTGTTTGATGACGGACTCGGGCAATCTGAAAAGATTTTTTAGAAACTTGAGGAGCAAGTAAGGGTTGATGCTGGATATGATGTGAATCCGGGAATCAAAGCAACAAGAGAGATACGGAGCCACTTCTTAAAGTCATTGGAAAAGTACGACATAAGCGACTGCCTTGAGCAGAACCTTATGGATGTCACGGTCCAATGCTGGATGGAACTATTCACCAAAACATTTGCGGTACGCCATATTTTCATTTTGCGGGATCATTTTCATTGGGCGTTGAACAATCAACTAATCAAATATACCATTCGAATCAGAAAAAAATTCTCTACAAGGTAGTCTACTTAAAATAAATTGGAACAGTAAAACGAAAAAGTAGCACATCATGGCATTTGGCTACTCTGGGCCTAAAAATGAGCTTAAAATAGCTGTAACTTTTTAAAACGGGCTATTTAGCAAAAATCGAAAACATATTCGGAATCAGCGCAAAATTCTGCAGAAAATAGGCCTGGTTTCGATTCAAAACGCCATTCACAGTGAAAAACCTTGTAAGCTGGAGTGAATAACGATGATAATGTAAAAAAGGAATCAAGAAGATATTTCAGAACATCGGCACTCCGGAGAGTAAGAGACAATGTCTGCTCCACGTCCTACAAGCGCTAACTCTTCGAATCCGAGACGCTGATTTCGTGGAATTCGAGCGGCAGGTGCGGGAAGAATTCCAGCAACGCAGCACGAAATCTGCACTGTCCTACGGATATTATTTTCGCTGCGGTCCTGATGGTGGAACCGTCGAGCCGGCATATGATGCGCTTCATTATCAATATAATCAGAATATCCAAATGGCAAGCGTCGCGTTGATTGAAAATTTTATTAAGTGCTGCAGAGCGGTGGTCACCAGCCTCAAATGTCCTCACAGCCCAGAGTCAGCCCTAACCCTCTCCCAGCGCAATATCCTCTTCCAGGATCCTCTTCGGGAATCGCGCAGGTTGTTTTTTGAGGGATGGTGTGGGTTTTGAGAATTGAGGGATTTTGGGAATGCATAAATTTTGGACTGCCGAAATTGCGCGAGGTAAATTCAGCGAGTGAATTAGGATTAGCACGAATCAAATCGAGCTATTCCGGAATTTATACATTCTCAGCTTATGAATTATGAAATTTATACATTTTGAGATTTTTAGATTCTAAAATTTAGGCATTCTGAATTTAGGCAGTGTGATTTTATGAATTCTAAGAGTAAATCAAATATGAACGGTCCAAAAAGAGCCGTTGTGCATCCGAACACAAATTCAAATTTATACAATTTTTTTAGGCGGCAAATCACGTGGCTGATCATGGCATGCCTGGCGTCCGCACGAATGGCATGAGCGCTGAAAGTGTACATCATAGCGAAGTGACGGATCATGTCAGAGATCCGTCCAACCTATTTTATCACCCGTTCTAAAATAGAATGCCGTCATTTTTCCCGAACGCCGGCGCGACGCTGACGCGCGCCTATTACTCACAATAGCCGGTAATGAGTGTGAATAAACGGCTTACTTCAGATCTTTTGGTATGGTATTTTTGAATGTCTTGTTTTGGTCCATGTATTTCCGGGCGCAAAATAGCATGTATCTAATTCTCTGTCTAATCAGCGTCAATGAGGAGTTTCTGTCAAAAAAACCTTGTTACGCTGTGCAGGTATCAAAGAAACTTGGCGTTGATGGTTTTGAGACCAACCATTTATCATTTTATCCATTTTCACTAATCAAAAGACATCTGGTTTCCCTGCAACCGTTCGAGCTTAGCCTTCAAGAATTTGACCTCGAGCTCGTGGCGTTCGGCCTCGTGGCGCAGTTTTTGATCGAGGAGCTCGAAGTCGAGCTGTTCGCGGCGAACCTGGAAATTCGAGATTACGCCCTATTCTCGAGCGCTACGAAGTACACATTAAATTCTGAGCAGAAAGCTTTAAAGTAAAATACAAACCTTCGCTTTCATAATCTTCTCCTCAAGGGCCGCGTTCTCATCAGAATAATCGTCGACGAGCAGTGGGATGCCTGATGTGGCCGGTCGTTTCAGGGTAGGCTTTGGCAAGTGGTCAGACCTCGATTCGAGTGGCGTGGATTCCTAAGAATAAAGCTAAGTTAGATGGCTTTCCCAATGCTTTTAAAAATATTTGTGTAGCTCGAAAATCACTCCTTCAATCGACTAGGTCTCGATAAATGCGTTCTACATCAAATGACGCGCTCGCGCTCATTTTTATAGCACTTTTGGCACCCAGGGAAACCGTTTGCTCTCGAAATTTGGACTTTCGCGTACTTGTCAAGACCTAGTCGACGGAAAGGGTCGATTTTTGCGCTGCTGGGCCGCTTTTCCGCTTTTGCCCCTTAGAAAACCAAACTCACATTCAGCAGATCATCAATGTTCTCGGCATATTGCGACGAGGCCGGCAAGTTCAGTGGCACCTCGTTGATGGGGACGGCCTCAACTTTCGCCGCTGGGCCGTCGAGCAGGAATTGATCGAGACCGCTTTTTGTCGGGATCTCGTCGACGTCGTCGAGGAGATGCTCATCGTCTGGAAGCGGAAGTTTGGATTTAAAGGGACTGTGATAGCCACCCGAGAAGTGCTATTTTTAGAAAAATATGCGAGTTTACTTTTTTACGTTTCCCGTGACTCCTTAAACCATTTTTTGTAGAGTACAATACTGGAAATTAAATCCACTTATCTCTTTCTCTCTAGCTACCTCCTCTCTCTCTCTCTCTATCTCTCTCCCCCTCCTTATCGCTCTCTCTCGCTCTTTCTCTCTCTCTCTCTCTCTCTCTCTCTCTCTCTCTCTCTTCTCTCTCTCGCTCTTTCTCTCTCTCTCTCTCCTCTCTCTCGCTCTTTCTCTCTCTCTCTCTCTCTCTCTCTCTCTCTCTCTCTCTCTCTCTG